TCCTCCAAAAAAACCTGGTGGGGAATACAGGACTGCTGGGCAGTCAAGCTTCCCCTTCATTTTATGCCTTTTTCATCTCTGTTTTCCATTCTTGAGACCCTTTTTAGTGAGAGGGTTTTCTACCCCTTTTTCCCCATTCTTCCCCCATTCCTCCATTAGACTTCTTAAATTGGATTTAAATGAATGTAAATGAATGACCAAACTGTTGATACAAATTAGCAGGCTAAACACATGTCTTCCAGCCCTGCTAAACTGGTTCACTGAGGTGTTTCAGAAGCTGCAAACAGCCTTACAGAGGGAGAAGGGATTTATTATAAAGCAATGTATGAGTTGCTGTAGCCTTCTTTTGTTACGTGATCTGAGATTTGCATGTTTCCAAAAGAACTACCTAAAAGTGCCAAGCTCTTAAATAATCTGAAATGGAAATTTTCTTTTCATTCTAAAACAGTGTAAGTTTTGTTTTCTGTCTTACTGTGTGTATCTTATGTTTCCAGTGCCTCTTTGTTTGTATTTTCTTTTTTTTCCCCTTTCTCTCTGTTTCCCACACTTTGATGGCCTCTGTTACTTCTGTTTGTGGTCCTGCTGTCAGCCAAACAGGCTGGGCAAGCTGGCTGAACAGGTATAGTGATGCATGTGTGCTTGTCACGTCCTAAAGTCCATCTGCTTCTGCAGTCTTAGGGACTAGGCCCACATAGGTTTGTGCTTGCATCCTTTTGCACTGCCTATGAGGGTTACAGAGCAGGTGCTTACTCAAATAATATCCTAAAAGGTGAATTTTAAATCTAAAAATTTGGCAAACTTAGACTCACCTGTACTCCATAGTTCACCTGTGCATTCATTGATTGGATTCCATAAAAAGCAAAGGCTCTACAGTAGTCACTGTAGAATGGGGGGCTACTTTACTCTATTTCTTGGACATTAGGCAAGTTTTTTCTAAGTGTCTGTAAAAAAGAGAGGAAATTTGTGCATTTATGTGGCTGTGAGAATGAAAGCAGGGTGTTGTGGCTTCTGTTGAATTTGTTTCTTCCTCCTTATTCTTAGGGAACAGCAGGACCAGATCCAACAACAGTCTATGTAGATATGAGAGCACTTCGACACGACAGGTACAGTCTGTGTTGCAGCATTAACTCTTCAGTGGCTGTTGAGAACAAACTCCAGCCTCATTGCATTGGTCTGTTGAATTGTCCTTGGCAGCAGCCAACTGACTTCCTCCCATATTATATCCCTGTGCTGTGCAATTCCAAGAAACCTGCTCCCTAACGATCCTCTTGGTAGTGGAAATAGCACAGTTAGAATCTCTCATAGTTTTGTTTTTGTTTTTTTTTTCTTCAAAGCAAAACAGCTCTGTTCCTCAGCCTTCCCTGAGTGGCAAACAGAACATAGCAGAAATCTGTCGCTGTAACAGGAGCCATGGGGTGTACTGGTGGGCACAGGATGCTGGGTTGAAGGGTAATGGAAGAGCCCAAAGCAACAGCAGAAGACAGCAGGGCTGTCTCCCAAGAGAAAGCCCCTCAGCTACAAGAGTGCAGGCAGCTGCACCTTTCCCCCTCCTCCTTGACTGCATCTTTTGTCTTTCTTAAATACAGTCATTATCATCTCTTAGGCAGCAGATGGGAGAAAACTCCCTGAGAGAAAAAGAAAAGAAAAAACATCCTCATCTCCAACAGTCCTTAAAGCATTGTACAAATGTATTCATTCCTCTTATTTTCTCAGGGTGCGTTTGGTAGAGAGAGGTTCTCCACACAGTCTGCCACTTATGGAGTCTGGCAAGGTGAGAGACAGTGTCATCCTTCCTCCTCACAGAATCAAGGAGTGGTTTGGGTTGGAAAGGACTTGAAAGCTCATCTCATTCCAGTCCATGTCTGCCATGGGTGGGGGTACACCGTCCAACCTGGCCTTGGACACTTCAGGGGTGAGGCAGCCACAGCCTTCTCTGGACAACCTTTACCAGCCAGGGCCTCACCACCCTCAGCTGGGGACAATTATTCCCAACATCTACTCTGAACCTCCTGTTACAGTTTAAAGCCATTGTGACACTCGTGATGTCCTCATGGCCCTCACCTGGGTGGGGAGCTGCATCACGTGGATCTCATGAAAGAATATGTGGGATGAGATTGGCTAATCAGAATGTGTCCAGGAGAACAGGTTGTGAGTGAGTAAAGTGAAGCCAGGTGCATGACATGAAGCAATAGGATATATTGTACCACCAAAACAAATCTGAGACCTTCATAAGGAAGGCATTTGCTAGGTGTGAAACCAAAGCTGAAGCTGCAAAATGGCTGCCCAGAATTAGAAGTATTTAACAATTTAAACAACTGTAGTAGGAAGAGATGATTGGTGTCTGTGGTGCAGAAAGGAGTAGAAAGGGAAGCACAGAGCACAGACTGTTGACTTCTGATTAACATTTCTTTTGATGAATTCATTTTCTTAATTTCTGTTTGCTTCTTATTCGAGATTCTTCCGGGAGTCAAGGTCATCATAGCACACACAGAAACCAAAGGACCTCTGGGAGACTCCCATTTAGGAGAGGTAAAGCTTTGGTGCTGTTGTACTGTGTGTGTGGGCAGTGATGTGATACCTGGATACCTCCTGTTAGATAAATGCCTTCCTTCCCCTGACTGGGATGTGAATGAGCCCCACAGAGAGCTGGCACCATGTGCATTCCTGCACATGTGGCTGCACAGTCTGTGTCTGCCCAGCAGCTAGAACAGGTAGGGATGGACTCCCATCAGTGGGCAGCAGCAGTAGGTCATTTGCTGCTTGGTTTGACCTTTGTTTTATAGGCATCTTTTGTTGTGTAATAAGATGCCCAGCTAATAGGTTAGCAGCTGTTCCTTTCCAGTAAGCCAAATGCCTCGTTCATTTTTTTATGGCCTTTACTACCCCCCCCAGTTACATGTACCTAAAACTCCTTTTCTCTGGTCAGAAGTTAATGCTTTATATAATAATAAATATATATAATACCTTTTATATATATATCTATATATAGATATATATAATATATAGAATACATTTTATATATATAATATATATAATGTTTTATATAATAATAAATATCTATAATACATTTTTAATATATATAGATATAGATGTATATAACATATAATACCTTTTATATATATATCTATATATAGATATATATAATATATAGAATACATTTTATATATAATATATATAATGTTTTATATAATAATAAATATATATAATACATTTTAAAATATATAGATATAGATGTATATAATATATAATACATTTTATATATATAGATATATATAATATATATAATACATTTTTATATATTATATATATAATGTTTTATATAATAATAAATATATATAATACATTTTTAATATATATAGATATAGATGTATATAATATATAATACATTTTATATATATCTATATATATATTATATATATATATATATATAATGCTTTATACATTTAAACTGGCATTTTGGAGTAATGAAAATGGTCAGTGAAACAGATCTTTTAAATCAATTAACGATGCTCTCTGTGCCTGGCACAATAACCTGTGTTCACTGCAGTTGGCTTTGGTTTGTCCCCAGATCTGGGTGAGCAGCCCCCACAATGCCACTGGTTACTACACGGTGTACGGAGAGGAGGCGCTGCACGCCGATCACTTCACTGCCCGCCTGAGCTTCGGGGACACGCAGACCCTGTGGGCGCGCACCGGCTACCTGGGCTTCCTGCGCAGGACCGAGCTCACCGACGCCAGCGGGGGTATGGGGACAGGACAGGACACTCCTCACTGTCACTCCTGGGGGGCTCTCCAGCTGGCTTATGCTGACTTCCATCACAGGACACTCCTGAGTCAAGGGGGAGGTGTTCTGTCATTCAGCAGGGTCAGGACGTGCACTGACACTGGTGATGTTGCAGTGTTTCACAAGTTAAAGGTCTAGAGGGGAATGTTGTCGTCTCTATTGCAGGGGTTCCACACTGCTGTCTCCTTATCACAAAAGTTTCAGACCTTCTTGGTGTTTCTCATGGGCAGCTCTCAGAGCACTGACTCTTTCTTCTTCACAAAGCAGCCAGCTGACCCCAGTTCCCTTCTCACCCAGCCACCCCACTCTTTTATAGCACTCTTCTGCTCATGTATGGCCTGTTAAAGTCAGGCCTGTTCCTAATCTTTGATAATTGGCTCAGCTGCAACTCCCTAGGGGTAAGATTACTTTCTACACTCTCTTTATTTTCTTATATTCTATTCTTCTACAGGAGAAACTTTCCAGTATATAAAATAAATTATTAATCTTGAATTTTTTTAGTCTAAGCCAAAATGTCTGAATTTGGGAAGAGTTTATCCTCCATCTGCTCTGTTTTCTGTTGAGACAGAATAGAAAGCAGATATAGTTCTTAGTTATCATATATGTAAAGAAATAAGTCTCTGAACATTCTAAGGAAAGGAGTTTGGATGCTCTTCACTTAGTAACAAATGTATATTGCTGGTTTTCTGTGATTGAACTTAAATGAATGGTGTCAGCGTCCTGACTGCTGCCACTGAATCCCAATAGCAAGTTTTTGTGCCTTGTAGCTTTCTGAAAAATCACATTTCACAAGAGATTTTTATCACCATGGAACAATGCCAGCTGTCCTTTAGTTTTTAAGAAGCTGTGGGCAGTGAATTTACAGTATACACAAAATACAACTTCCCAGCATGATTTTCACCTCCAGTAACATAACTGAACAAGACTATGAAATAGTTAACAAAGAAAAAGCAAAATTGAACTGAACAGAGTTACAAGGATGAATGTTGAGAGTAGGGTAGGGTCTTCTAGGAGAGCTTTGCTTATTCAACCTGGCAAAGCTGAGGCTGGGGAGAGGACAGAGTTGTTCTTACTTTGTAAACTGTGGGATCTTAAGAAACTGAGTAGAATTTTGCTGGCATGAGGACTAGTGGGTATAAGCTGGTGTTAAAAAAAGAAGTTAAATTTGGGAATTGGAAAAGTGGTTGTGTTGATCAAAAAAGAATTGTCTGGTAAGAACAGTGGAACAAAAAGATGTTTTAATGGTGGATTTTACTTGGGTTTATCAACAGGGGTTACATTACATGAGACAAAGGACAGAACTGGATGACCCAGAAATTCTTTTCATTGTGATTTCAGTTGCTTGCAATCATAGGCAGAAGTGCTGCATGAGCTCTTAATTCTCTCAAATGCTGGGGCGTGCCTTATAGACTTTCCCCTAGGAAGCACTGGGAACATGTTAGAAGGTCAGGAATAAGCTCCTACAAGTGGCTGTGTTTGTCCTGTAGCTGTGCTGGTGTTGAAGTGTGTGTGCTGTATTGCAGAGAGGCACGATGCCTTGTATGTGGTGGGCTCTTTGGATGAAACACTGGAGCTCAGAGGAATGAGGTACCACCCCATCGACATCGAAACCTCTGTCATCAGGGCACATAAGAGCATTGCAGAATGGTAAGAACCACAGCATTGTTCTTCTCTATCATTTTATTTCTTCTAAAGCAGAACTTATGAGTTCCTTGGCAGTGTCAGAATGTACACCTGTGGGTGTGGTAAACACATCTCAGGGATTTCACGGATGATGTCTTCTCATGTGTATAATTCCCAATTGGCCCTAATGAGTTATGGATATAACTGAGGCTGTTATCCTCTCCAGCCTCAAAGCATTCAGGTTTAGCTGTAAGCTTTGGGAGGCCTTGTCTTTCTTTTTACAATCTCTTTTAGTGACTTGTCCAGATGTTCTTTCCTCCCCATTAACACGTGTGTCATTCTGACAGTGCTGTGTTTACATGGACAAACCTGCTGGTGGTGGTGGTGGAGCTGGAAGGCTCAGAGCAGGAAGCTCTGGATCTGGTGGCACTGGTGACCAACGTGGTCCTGGAAGAGCATTATCTCATTGTTGGTGTCGTGGTCATCGTGGATCCCGGGGTCATTCCCATCAACTCCCGCGGCGAGAAACAACGGATGCACTTGAGAGACGGATTTTTAGCTGATCAGTTGGATCCTATTTATGTTGCCTACAACATGTGAAAACAGCAAATAACATCAAGGCTAAAGCACCAAAATCCAAGGGGCTTTCCTCATAATAACATTGGAATCCATGCTCTTGTTTTTACAAGCTGTTGAAGACCCTAGGAAAATGGAGATAATTCTCTTTACATGCAGCCCTTCATCTCCCAGATTGCATTTGCTTTCATTGTAACAGTCACAGCTGTCTTAGGATGGAGAGTTTACTGGAATTCCTGAAGGAAGCTTATTAGAACTATCATGGACCAATTTTATTTTAGGAGGGGGGAGCAGAGGGGAGAGAGTAATTATGAATGTCAGTACTTGATGCACTGCATAAAAGGACATAGAGTGGGGTGGGGAGAGAACAGCAGCTGTGAGGAGGACTCCTGGAAACAGCACCCAAAGTCGTGAGTAACCATCCAGAGTTCACCCTCCACGTGACTGCAGTATTGGGGTTGGGGCATATCCTTCAACATTGCACACACCTCTGCCACATTCTCTACTGAAAGGCATTTTGCACATATTTGAGATTTAAAAATGCAGCCTTTTTATTTTAAAACACTGACTCATCCCTATTCAGAAGAAGCCAACCCCTTCCAATCCTGGATTCAGTGTAACAGTTATGCTGCTGATCAGCTTTTTTGTACCAAGCAAAAACAAATGCTGTAACAAGGTTACTTACGGTGCCATGCTGGACTCTGTAATGCTATAAACTTTATAATAAAATACAAAGTAATATTCAGTTTTAAGTACTTGATGCAGGAGCCTTCAGTGCTCTTGCTCTTCTAACTCCATGTCCAAGTCGCTTGTTTTCATAGTGTGAGCTGTTAATTCCTGCCCTGCATAATGCCAAGGATTTGAAAATCCATTCCAAAGCCACTCTGAATGATTTGTATAAATGTTTACAAAGCATAGGCTTACAAAATGTTTTCCCTGAATATTCTGTGCTAAAACTTGAAATAGTAACTTTTTTTTTTCCCACCATAGAAAACCCATTCAGTGTTAGTTAGCTTGAGCTGTTGTGGTACAAACTTTGTTTGTTTTCTTTGGAGTTGTATTTAAACTCTTTTGTTCAGGCTAAAATATCCAGTTGGTTGGGTCACAGTTGGACTAATTAAGGTTTTGGAGTTTCTGCCTCTTCTAATACTGCAGTGAACCTAATACAGAAAAAGAATACGAAGTTATTCAAGTAATTCTGTGTTTGAAGGTAGGCACAAGACTAGCAAATAATTATTTTTATAAACTTGTTAAAGACTTGAGAGCTACAGAAAATTTTTTTAATAATGCACAAGTTTGCAAAAGAGCCAGTTTTTTCTGCAAGGCAATTCTGCCTGGATCAGTGCCTAAGAAAGATGGATGTCAGTCCCCTGATAGATTAGATTTATCCATGGTGAAATAAACTGAAATCTTCAAGAAAAAGCTCTCCTTTATAGTAGTTATGGGCCCTGGTGGTGTTTACCTATGGTGTATTATACAGCTGCATACTCTGACTGTAATTATGTACAGAACTTGTGTAACTTATTGTTTGAGTCCAGCAGCCTCCAGCAGCAGGCTGTGGGACAGCCCTCCTCCCAAAACAGCTGGCAAAAGGAGACAACTCCCTAACCCCCAGTTCCATGTTGTAGTTTTCTAGCAAACAAAGCATTGTAAGACTTTTGTATTGAGATACTGATGAAAGTGATACAAGTTGCCTTGTAAAGTAAATCTTAAAACAAAAAGCTTATTAAACATTTCAGAACAGCTCTTGCCAATCTGACTTGATGAATGTTGAAACTCAAGCTGTTAGGTCAAAACCTTGGCTTAGCACCAGTTTTCACTCATATATCAGACAGATTAATGCATTAAGAGCTTTTTCTGCAAAACCTGACTGCAATTGCTTTGCAGGTAAAACAGTTGTAAAGCTTGGATGCTCCTGAATTTCCTGTGTGTTGAGCCTCTGCCAAGCTGCACTGCTGTTGTCACTATGTCAGGTATGACATCTCTGCTGTGGGGCTGGCAGGGCTGGCAGGATGTCACTGCCATGGTGCAAGCTAAGCAGCTGCTCCATGCATGGCTGAGCCTCTCCAGGCCTCTGAGCTCCAGCTGCAGGCACAGCCTGGCCCTGTCCCTGCTTGGTTTGCAGCCAGACATCCACTGAAGTTTATACCCCTGGGAGACATTGCAGAAGGCACCAGCTGGACAGAAAGGCCTGATGCCAGATCCGGGCTGATGACTGCCAGGGAGGAAGCACTAACTGAAAAGGAAAAGGAGAAACAGCAGCACTGGGATGGATGCCCTGCAGCAACTTCATCAGGCTGTGCTGCCAAATTCTCCAGAGCTGTCAGGGTAAAGAAGGCTCTCTCTGCAGGCCAGTAAGTCCCATGGGCCCCTGTGTCCCCTGGGAAGGAAAGATGAGAAGCAGAGGGGATGTTGGGTGTGAAAAGGGTTGGAGAGGGTGAGGGCCATACTCAGGACTCCTTGAACTACCAAGGATGCCCTGGAAAACTGCAGCTCAGCAGGTGAACATGTCCCTGCCAGCCAGGGGAGTTCGGATGGGATGAGATGGAATGGAATAGCGTGGTGTGGCATGGCAGCTCCAGCCAAAGCAAGGATAGTACACTTTACCAGGGATGCACACACAGGAGACAGCAGTGACCCTGCCAGCTGCTGAGACTCCCCCAGCACAGGGAGCAGGGAAGCAGAGGTGGGCTCAGGGAGCAGGCAGGGCGATGGGAGGAGCCCATTGTGCAGCAGTAAAGCCAAAGGACACCCTTACTTACTGGCTGCCCAGGTGATCCCTCACCTTGCCCAGCATAGCTGAGGCTGTAGTCTTGGGGAGCTCAGGGCCAGCCACAGGAAGGTTGGTGCAGTCTCCACTGTGCCAGGTGGGATAGCATAGCCAGGAGTCATTTGGGGGGAAGGGGGGATGCATGCACAGTCTGGCACCCAGCACTGTCAGTACCTGTGCCCCTCAGGGAGAAGGATGGGGGCCATACCTAGCAGGTGCAGGAAGCCCCCAACACTTGTGCACACCCTGTGTGTCGTCAGTGGCACCAGCGTGTCCAGCAGCTTGAAATAACCAACATAGAAGGTGTCAGTAGGCACTGAGGCCACAGGGATCAGCTCTCTGCATGGTCCTCAGCTTGAAGGACCCCTGTGCACATTACAGCTTCATAAGGATTAAAGATCCCAATAGAAGTCTCTTACAAAAATGTACCAGGATAAAAACATGTGCTTCATGTCTCCTTCTCTTCACCCAGATTGTGCTGCTGTGCTAGAAGTGTTTCCAGTTAGATTGAGATGACAAGAGAGGCAGAACACAGGGCTCCATAGCAGTGAGAAGCTAAGGGCATGGTACAGCCCAGCAAGACATTGCTGTGTAGGAGCCATTGTTGGACATAGTCAGTGCTGGACGTGGTATGCAACTTGTGCTTGGTAAGTTCCTGAATGAGAATGGCAGTGCTTCCTCATGGGAAGGAAGGAACTTGGCCTCAGTGTTGGAGGTGCAGATAAGAAGCTGCATTGTGCAGCTCAAGGGTGGCAGCAACTTTCTACCCTGGCATATTTGGTTTGGAAGCACTGACTCAATTTGTACAATCATGGAGTCAGCATCCATCTTTGAAAGGCAGTCTCCCTCCTGAAAGATTCAATTTGGCATGTGTTTTCCACTTGTTAGAGGTAGCCTTCTTGAAATTCTGCCAGCACACTTCTTTTGGACAAGGTAAGCAGCTACACTGAGTGTTGGTGTGCAGCTGATCAAGTGCCCTGGGCAGGTAATGCCCAATAGCAGTGTTCTGACACATTTGTAGGGGATCAGTCCCTGGATGTTTTGGATTTTGGAGGGGATGCCATTTCTTCTGAGATGGAGTTCTAGTTGCTCTCTTTGGCAAAGAAAGCAAATTTGGATGAGCACTTCTGTGATCTCAGTGAATTTAGAGGCTTTTCCCAATATTCAGTTCTCTGGGTTAAAGCTGTTGAACTGCCAGTGGGAATGCAGATGCCAAGCTGTTGAGTTTTGTCCTTGTAGCTTGAGCATGTGAGCAGTCCCTGGTGCCGTCCCATTTGGATCCTGCCTCTGAGACTGAAGGCTTAGGATGGTACCTAGAGCTGAGAAGGAAAGGGGCTATAGCAGGGAGTGTGTTTGTAGTTTGATGGGGGCAGTTGAAATTGTAGGCAGCAAAGAGCTTTCTCCACTGACACTTACATGAGCCCTGGTTTTGGCAGATGTATTCAAGTTTGTTACCAGACTCTGTGAGAGTGAAAAGGTTTGTTGGGGCAGAGGAGTTCATGTTGCCATTTGAATGTGCTGCAAGGAAGAGTTTGTACTTGGAAGGGGAAGATCAGCCAAATCTTTTTGTCCTGGCAGAGGTGATTGGAGAGCAGGGACGTTTCTGACTCAGCTCTGTCCTGGGGGTAGTTTCGAGCTCGGTGCGTGTCCCTGTTTTGTGAGTCGACAGCGCTATCGTGTGGTTGTGTTGGCTGTGCAGTTTATAAGCTTCAAAATAAAAGGCAATTGCAGCACAGCCTCTTCCTTTTAGAAGCTTTTCTGTGCCACCAGCTGCTCAACATGTAACTCACACCCACTGAACTGCATCCAGTTCCCTGGAGATATGCACTTTCCCTCAAGATCTGTGTGCCATCTTGCACTCTAACACTCGCAGACCCCAAACCCCTTCAAAATGTCCAGCAGCTGCTTGCAAAGGACAAGTCCTATAACAGAAAGCCACTGCTGGCCTCTATAGTCCCTTTGCAGCCTGTAAGCTAGACAAAACATACTAGTGATTGACATTTTCCTCCTAAATTATATATATAGCATCAGCACGTTCTCTCAAAGTGGCAGAGTCCACTGTTAGAGCAAAGTGTTTCCAGCTGCAGTTCTGACTGACAGATGTGCCAGGACAGAAGGCATTTGCCAGCCTGACATTCACAGCACCATCACTTTCACATACTTTCAATGTCCAAGCAGCTGCTAGAGGTCATGCAGATGGAAGTGTCAAGACAGAAGATGTTCTCCAAGTACCTCCTTCTCTTATTAACAGCATTTAAACTGCACACAATGCTCTGTATCTCCTTTTTCCAGACAGACCTGCCATCACTTTTTTCACTCTCACATCTTCATTGCAAAGTCCAGCAGTTGCTCTCATAGAAGAAGGCTCTAGAAGTAAAAGCCAGTGCAGGGCTGCACCTTCGCCTTGCTGCACATAAACCACATCAAACTCACCAGTGCACTCTGTCCTTCCCTTCTCTGCTGCCTCTACCATTGTGTTCTCTGGATCTCAGAGCCTCAAGGTCGGCACAGGTGTTCCCACAGAGGGGCTGGAAGAGGAATAGGTAGCAGCACAAGTAGCTCTTGTTTAACTTTGCCCTTAAGACTGCCAGCTTAGGACTGGGAATTCAGCTGGCAGGCCAGTGGCAGCCACGCTCCTTTCACAGCCGGGACGCTGTGCCCAGCTCAGAGAGCTGCGCCAGGACAACAAGCTTGCCCAGAGTTTGCCCCTGGAACTTGTGAAATGCTGTCTAAACTTTGGGAAACTCGTATTTGCACCACATTCAAGGGGAAGCCCCCTCTCTTTTAAAACCTTCAAGAAGCTGGTAGAGCACAGTGCTCTCTGCACAGTCCTTTTCAGCTTGAAGTACTACCATGCACGTTGCAACCTCACAAGGGCTGAAGATCGGATAGATTCTCGTACAGAAAAATGTGCAAGGATAAAAATGTGTTCTTCATGTCCTCTAATAGTGTCTTTGTAGTGCTGGAGAGTGAGGCAGTTCTTTATTCCTGGCCAGGGTTTGTAAATGGCTGACAAAATTCCAGCCTCTACACAGGCACAAATACAAAACTTTTCCACCTATTTCTACATTTTTGGCAAACAAATTAATGTTCATTGGTTCTAAATTGCATAATTATATTTCATTTATTAGTATACTGTCCTCTATTGGTTATTGATTCCTCGCTGTTCATGCTAATCAGTCCATATTTTTAGGGAGTTTACTGTCTGTTTTCTCCAGTAGGGACTTTTCAACACACAGACACAGTCTTTGTTAGTCTCTTCTGGTTTCTGCAAAATGTCCTTGTAGTCCCTAAATTCTGCATTCCAGATGTCCAGCTTCAACAATACATCTTTATCTCCCAGGCCTTGTTCATTGAAGCATATCAGATTTAGTTTATCAAAACTTAATGTGTCAGAAATTTTCCCAAGCTGTGTTCCCATAAAAGTAACTTTAGACAACTTTGTTAAATGCTGGCTTTAAATGACACAAGACTAATGTACTGCTTATAATTAATATACTGGTTATGATTAATTAAAATTTAATAAAACCATTATTTTTTTAAGTTATGTCACTTCTAACAGCTGCAGCAGTTTGGAAAGGCTGTAAAAAAACTCCAGAAAGAACTCTTCCTGTCCCTCTTGCAATGTGGCTCATGGGAGGTAGGGTGTCTGGTTTAACTTTTATCTAGACAAAATGATGTGCTGCACCAGCACTAGTCCCAAGTGTGTTCCCAAGTGGTTCCTTTCTCTGACACAAAGTTCAGTGCAAACACTTGTTTGAGGTGCAGCAGATGGGTCAGACTGCTGGGCCCACAATCAGCTCACAGTGTGCAGAACACTCTGTGCTTACAGAGCATTCCATCTTGGAAAGGAGCCCTGGGAGGTTTTTTCATGTCATCTGCATTTTTTAACCCAGACTTTCACAGGTTCTTGACCAAACCACCTACTTCTACTTAGATCCTTGTTGTGGAAGTAAATTAAGTTGTAGTCTTTAAAAGAAGGCAAGTGTTTTGTTTGAAAAGGCAAGAGAGGTGAGGCACTTACAGAAACCATTTGCACTGATAGTAGATTTAGGAAACACACAAGAATTGATCCTGCAAAATGTGTTTTGTGTTTAAAAGCACTGCACACAAAGAGACAATCACAAAGAGACATCTTGTGTGCCTGGTTCTGCCTGAACATCCCCTTGCACAACCTGGGGGAGGCTGGTGAGAATAGCAAGATGGTCCCTGTCCAAAGATGTCATTTTGTGCATTAAATCATTATAATATGTGGATTGAGGTAAAACCAGTACCATCTGAGAGCATCTTTGCTGTGCATCTGTCACTGTTGGAGCTGCAGGAAGGCCCAGCTCACAGGTGCTGCTGAGCTGGATGGCAGGTGCAGACTGGAAAGGCAGAAGCTCAGGCGTTGGGGGGGGTTGTTCTGGGTTTAGCTGAGGCTTTGCAAGGGCTCACCACTGCAAGCCCCTGGACGACCCCAATAGCAGCAGTGACATCCTGCAGAGGGCCCCTGTGTCCCTTTGTCCTGGCAGGTACACCTGGCAGAGTGGGCAGCCAGCTGGAACTCGGTGCTGGTGACAATCGAGGGATGTCTGGCCAGTCACAAAGACACCAGGCAAAAGAAGAGGGGTCAGTGTCAGTGCCCAACGAGACCCCCAGGGGCATGAGCTGTGGCAGTGCCTCAGGCCTGATCCCCCAGCCTTTCTCTCTCAGTGCAGAGCAGCCTGGCACAAAAGGACACGTTTCTCACCAGAGGCCAAACCAATGTTTTATTCCTTGTCATTTCCACGCACTCAGGAGGCTGTGCCTCGTCTGTGGTCACATGGGCCACTCCCACTTCCCTTCTGACTGAGCCTGGACACCTTGTCAAGGCATAGCCCAGGCCCAGGAGCTGACCCCAGTGCAGGAGCCTCATATGCTGTTGCTTCCAGTTCTGCAGGCTGCTAAAAGCAGGATTGATCAACAAGTGAAAGCCTGAGCTGTCAGATGGTTATGCTTTTAGATTGTTACGCTTTGCCTTGCAAGCCAAAGGCGTCTCAATGTACCAAGAAATGGGTGGGCTCTGCTGAGCACCTGTGATGGGACAGGAGCTGGTTTCTAATGCCATGCCTAGAGCCCACAGGAATCACTGGGAGCCTTCCTGTTCAGGCCGGTGGGCTCAGCAGCAAGTTTCCAAAACCAGCCCCTCTGCATCACCTCTTCCTTCAACCCCTGAATTTCCTTTTTTCCTTTGCAAGCAAGCTTGGATCACAGCATCCCTCTGCTTCTAGCCCCATGCACATTCCTGACTTAAAACAGCAGGGAAGGAGCTTGAGGCAAGGCACTCTCACTGCACCCAGCCCAATGGGCACCAGCCAACAGCCTCTCCTGAGCCACACAAGTGTTTCTTGTTCACAAAGCCACAGCACTTTTAATAAGCTGCTTAAGTCTAGCGCAAGCTGAACTCTAAGGTGTCTGTAATCACAGCCAGTCCTTTTCCTGGAGGAGCAATGCTGCCTTGCCTCTCTCCAGCATGAGCAGAAGGGGCTCACCTGCTTCCCACCAGTTCACTCCTCCTCAAAGAACTCGTGGCAAGCAGCAGTGACCATTGCAATGAAGGCCACAAACTCCTGGAAGTCGCACTCTGCATCCCCATCGCAGTCCAGGGCCTCCATGACTTTGTCCACAGTCTCCTGGTCTTTGATTTCCTGAAGGGATAGAAACAGGGGCCCAAAGCTGGGGAGGACCACAGCATGGTCCAGACAGTAACATGTCCCCATTTCCCAAGTGCTCTCATGGCTGAATCTCTGTTCAGACACATCCCAAATGTCTTGTGGCTGTTCCCAGGCTGGTGGGGCACTGTTCTGTTCCCTGGGGAATTGCAGCCACAGCTGTGCTGCTGGGAAGGGACATTTGAGCCCCCTGGGGCGAGGCTGCCCCCCGTGTCAGGGAAGGTAATTTCCCTAGTATCCAACCCCCACCCCAGTCTGCCATATAGGCTGTTCCCCTCATCCTGCTGCTCTGTAGAGCTGGGGCAAAGGATTTAATGTCCTGCTGTGTAAATAAACCTCTTCACCTGTGCAAGGCTTCTGTGGGAGACAGAGTTGGGAGGTGCAGGGCTGTTGGATGGCCCCTGAGCCCAGGCAGGCTGCGGGGAGGGCAGTGCTTACCCCGAGGAAGTGGCTCAGCTCGTTGTTGATGAGCTCCTTCAGTTCGGATTTCTTCAGCTTGTGCTTGTCTCCCTCCTTCCCGGAGTACTGGTGGAAGGCCTCGATGATGGCGATCATCGCCTTCTCCAGCTCAGACATGGTCGCGGCTCAGCCCTGAGGTCAGAAGGGACGGTGGAGCGCCAGCCTGGGCAAGCTCCAGCAATTCCCATTGATTTGGAAGCACGGCCACCCCGGGCTCCGCCCATGGATCAGCAAGGTCGGAGCCGCGTTCAAAGCATTCTGCTGGGAAGCGCTGGCAGCAGCTCTGGCTTCAGGGGCAAGGTCATGAGAGACCAAAACTCTGCTGCCAGGGACTCTCGAAGACAGCAGAGCCACAAGACGAGGAGAGAGGCAGGCATGGGGTCAGCTCCGGAGCTTCAGAAAGGTTTTGCTGTCCCTGCTGTCACAGGTCCCCTCGGCTGTATCTCTGCCTGCAGCCCTGTCTTCAGCCCAGCAGTCAGGGGAACCCGGCAGAAACCGGTTTTGATGGGTGCGAGCAGGTCAAAATGAACATCTCTCAAACCTCCCTCTCCCACACTTGGTCTGGAGACCCTCTTGGGATATGATAATAATTCGGATTGCAGTGTTCCCTGCAGACTTCACAAACGGACAAACCACAGAGACTCTGATCTCTTTAGTGGAGAGGGAGAGCTGCCAACCCAAAGACTCGGAAAATAAAGAAGCCTTGTTGCCTGGCGCTCATTTCGTTCATATCCCATCGCTAAATGTCTCCTGCCCTGCAACCTGGCTCCTGTTTCTCCACCACAAGCTACTGAATCTGATCCCGCAGCTGATGTCCTCCCCCGCCCAGCAGTCAGTGCCCCAACCGAAAGACTGTTACCAGACACGGCAGAAAACATCCTAACAAAAATACCCTTCTCATGCAGCAGCCCTGCCTGCTGCCCGTCCGCAAGGCTGAGGAGTGCTCCCGGGCAGAGGTGATGCGGAGCGGTGACCCTGCCCTGACAGCGCCCACCTCCCCCCGGGCAGGGCCAGCCCCCGGCATCCCCCGGCATCCCCGGCCCCTCTCACCTCCGTGCTGCCGGCGGGGCTGTGCACGGCGATGCGGCGTGGCCAGGCACCCCCGGCGGGGCCCCGCTGCCCTCTTATGGCCGCGGGGATCGCGGCGTGGCCGGGGCGGGGTGTCCGGGCCGGGCGCTGTGCCCGCAGAGCCGCAGAGCCGCTCACGGGGAGCCGGCCCAAGGCCCGCGCGGGAGCCGTTGGAAAGCCGCCCTAGGGACAGGGAAACACCGCCTGCTTCCCTTGTTCTCCTTTTTACCTGCTGGTACTTCAATCAGCCAGTTTTTATAAGCGACACGTACACAGGGGTATACCCCGTTTCAAAATGTATTGCAGTAAACGGAGATCATCCCTAGACGCAGTTGTTACGCATTACCAATAAATCTGTTATGGTGCCATTTATTTGTTCATATTTTTCAAAGATAGAATGCCTACTCTCTGTTCCTTTGACTCACAGAACACAGAATGTTCTGTGAACCAAGCTTGCAATTCAAAGATGTGAATGCTTTCTTTAAAGCTGCTGTTCTGCTCTGAACAGTGAGTATGCAAAAACAGCATTCCTTGTATGTCTGATCTTTTCACTATGTTTACTGAGCACTATTAATATTTAACACACTTTTTCTGCTTTCTACTGCTTTAAGATTGTAGAGTCAGGCCAGACACGGAAAATAAGGTTATTTCAATTCACTCAGCTTCACCAAACATACCACCCAAAAACTGAAACCTTTGCTTCTTGTGCAAAACCATTTATACCATGGGAGTGAAAGTATCAATGAAAATATGTTTTGCAGTCAGTGGGAGCATAAGACTTATACTTTTCTGTGTGTATTGTTCAAGAAATGTTAAAATGTTCAAGAAATATCCGCCTAACACCAGAGACAGGTGAAACTGCAAATATTTTGAAGCAATTCTGAGAAGGGAAGTGTAAATCAATATGCAAAACTCAGAAAAAAGATGATTTATTGTTTGTATACTGATTCACACTAGATTTTTTTTTCTTTTTAGAAAATTTGAAAAGTTATCTCAAACTTTTTTATAATGGGGTCTCAAAACTTGTTCACATGTTCCCTGCCAGCCCTAGCGGCCACCATGAACTGGCATTAAATGCACTTTTATCTAAACCCTGTTGCTGGACAGACATATTCCCTGGCAGTTCCTGTGTTCCCAAATCTACTGATACAACACCAACCACGTTGCTTAAAAAACTTCACATACTGGTGTAAAAAAAAAACCATCTACATTGATAAGTTCCTTACATCAGCTCATGAAAGTTTTTGTAACAGGCTCAAACACCAGTTTGGGGAAAAATAATTTCCCTGGCTTTAAGGTTGAGTATGTTGACTCTAAATATTTGCCTGACCACTAAAATTCTTGCATTTTGGGCATTGCAAACTACAGCAGTTATCTGTGCTCTGGTGGGACTAGCAGGGACAGCAGGGATGCTTTTAGTAGTGGTGTTTCTAGTGTGGAGGTAGTTTGTCAACAATTTTGCACTATTTGATTTTTTCCAAGAGTACTTGCATTCCTGTAAGAGCTGGCTATAAATAGGGCTCTCTGTCAGCAGGAAAGAGACAGCATTTTTCTGTCGATAGCAATTTGATCTGGTAGATCTCTAGCTCAGTCCTCAGCCAAAAAATGCATTAAAGTAAACCTTTTCTAATCAGAGACAAGCTGCTAGCTCATCTCCTTAAACCATATTCTGATGTCATTCTGGAGAGTGACCTTTCCTTAAAATGGAACAGAAAAAGTATCATTTGACAGATCAAAACTTGAAGTCTTGAAATTCTCTTTCCTGGTGGTTCTTGCTGTCCATTTCACCCCAAATCATTCTGACTCCTGTATTTTACAGGTGATGATCTGGAATGATGTCCTGATAGGATGGGAAGGAGCAGCAGGATCAGATGTGAACACCAGAAACCTTGACCCTCCTCTGCCTTTGCTAATGGGCAGCTCCAAGAGACTTTCCTGATCCTTGTCCAAGCTCATATCCTTTGCAAAGACTGCTCTCCTGGCCTGGATCATCCCTAACCCAGCCTGTGACAGTCCAGAAGGTCTGGATATGAGTGTGGGGCTGTGAGCTGTGCTTTCAGTGCTGCCCAAAGAGCTGCTTCTGTTATTTTAAAATTCATGTTCTGATCTTCAAACAGGACAGTGCAGCCTTGGGGCTCCTTTCCTCAGGGTCAGAGCTTCCTTGCCAGAGCTTTGGGCTGATATGTTTAAAGAAGCAAGGGCATTTTTCAGTGCCCAAGGCTGAGCAAAACACTTGAGCCCTCTGCCTGTCTCCCTCACAATGTGGGCTCCTCATTCCAGGAGAAAAGACAGCCTATTTCTTTGTCTCTCGGGTGTGTGTGGCGCCAGGCTCTGCCAGACCATGAGACAAATGCCAGCGGTCATTGAACTGGGACAAAAAAAGTCATGAAAGCAGAGGAATTTGGGTGGGAGGGGGAAGAAAGTGCCTCTGCCTCTGCAGGGCTGCACTCTCAGTGCCAGCACACACAGCAGCTTTGCAGGGAGCAGGTTCCCTGGCACCTCCAAACACAGCAGCCAGAGGTGGGCTAGTTCCTGGCTGAATCCAGCTGAGATCAGACACAGAAAAACATGGGTGAAAACAATGCCTAAGTAACAGGAATTTGGCAATTAGTAACAATTTCTGATGCAGCTGAGTTGTACAGAGACAGAAAAATAAAACCAAGTTGTTCATCCTCCATCACTCCCCTTAGGCAAATATTACCATAAATTATCTTAAGATTTTGGCACCCATAGACAAGTGGATACTTTCATGAATCTCATTTCAGGCAGAATCATTATGGCAATTTTTTTTTTCGTAACCCAAAAATAAATGGACTATTAACCCTCAAATACAACACCCATGTCAGTGAACTGCTAGAGTTCTCTCTGTTCATATAAACTGTGCAAGAGAAGCAGCACAGCTCTCCCTACTGAGAACCAGTGGGATGAGACACAAGTCAAAGATATTATCCCCATCCACTCTCCCTCCAGGAGAAGTCCAGACACATCCAAAAAACATTTTGCTCTTTCTGAACACAGCCAGGGCTGAACTGAGTGATCTAAGCCTAGTTTATAAAATTAATAAAAAATTAATTCAGTAATTCTCACATAAAATCACTGTATCCTCTCCAGATAATCCCTGATGTTATTCTGGACGTGAAATGAGTGAAGACCTGTTTGTTAGAAGAGGAGGACTTTAATTTAAACTTCTACTGTACATTATATACTGTAAGTATTAATGATTATAGAAGTATTAATAGTCATTTTCCTGTCCTGGGGTGTTGATGGGTGCCACATTTGTGAGTAGCTCTTTTGTCCCTGGGCACTGCACAGACGTGGAGGGGCTTTTCTGCCAGTTTAGTTTGGTCTGGTGCCACCTCAGTGGGATGAGAGAAACCAGGTCACTGTGAAAGGCTGACAGGAATTTATCACTCCATTTAAACAAGTGTATATTAAATGTCCACCCAGCCCTTCCAACAGCAAGTACAGCATCTGGGGTACAAACCCTCTTGCTCACTGGCCTGGGAAGGCAGTGATGGGTGTCAGGAGAGAGATGGGGACATGTCAGGAGGAGCTCTGCCATCTCCTCATGGACTGCTGTCCCACGGCATTACCTGCATGAAGGTGACACCCCCGAACCGTGCTGGAGGGACCAGGGCAGGGTTCATAGCGAAGGTACCTGACTCACCTGCAGAGCACAACACGGTGTTTTATGGATGTCAGCCCTGCCAGCCACTGCCCTCCTCACCAGGCTGGGCCCCGGTGTTTAGACTGCCTGACACCTCGGGAAAGCAGAGCTGAGGACTGTGAGTCAGCAGCAGGGAAGCACGGGGGCAGCGAGAGCGTGGGCACACCGCGTCAGGGTGTGCTGTGCCCATGGCTGGCACTGCTCCCTGACACATCTCCCAGCCCCACTGTGCCCATGGCTGGCACTGCTCCCTGACACATCCCCCAGCCCCACTGTGCCCATGGCTGGCACTGCTCCCTGACACATCTCCCAGCCCCACTGTGCCCATGGCTGGCACTGCTCCCTGACACATCTTCCAGCCCCACTGTGCCCATGGCTGGGCCGGCGTTGTTTTGTTATTTCCATTAACGATGGAAACCACACGCCTGGACTTTGGGGAGGCACGGAGGCGGGGACAGTCGTTCCAGGGGCTGGCGCTGTCACCCAAAGGGACGGCTCGGCTGTCAGGGTCTGTGAGGGGGATGGCACTCCTGTGCCGCGGGCAGACGGAGTGGGAGTGAGAAGTCGAGCCTCGGCAACTGGCGGGGCGATGTCCCATGGCAGGAGGGGACGGGACGGGACGGGAGGAGATGGGGCGGGCCGGGAGATGGGGCGGGCCGGGGCCGCGGCCGGGAGGAGATGGGGCGGGCCGGGGACGGGAGATGGGGCGGGCCGGGGCGGGCTGGGGGCCGGCCGGGGCGGGCCGGGGGCCGCCATTGGCTGCCGCCCGTGAGGCGATGTGGGACCAGCCGGCGCGGCCCGGGTGCTGGGATCGGTAGCGGCGATGGCGGCGGACGGCGTGTGAGTCCCGGCGCTGGGATGGAGAGCGGGAGCGGCGCTGGCGGGGGGCACTGGGTGGATCCCGGCGGTGGGGTCGGGAGCGGGGTGCCTCCGAGGCTTACGGTGCCCGTGTCCGGCAGGGCGCTTCGGCGGCGCGGCGGCCCTCGGCGCTCGGCGGCGGCCACGGAGCTGCCGGCCTGGCGGCTGCGCTGCGAGGGTGGGCGGCAGCTCTGGCGCTACCTGGGCGATGGCGAAGGCGATGTCGCGGAGCGGCGAGCGCAGACGGCGCTGGAGCAGCACAGCCTCGGGCTGGACACGGTGCGGGGGGCCCGGGCCGGGGCGGCGGGGCCGTGCCCGGGGCGCGCCGCTGAGGTGGCCCTGTCTCCCCACAGGGCGCGACGCTGCGGACGCTGCCGGCGGCCGGCTCGGCCCGGGACGCTGCTCGCAACGGGATGCGGTTCTACGCGGCGCTGCAGGCCGAGGATGGGCACTGGGCGGGCGATTACGGCGGGCCGCTGTTCCTGCTGCCAGGTAAGCCTGGGCACCTGCCCAGGGGTGAGTGCCCTGGGATTCGGCTCTCTACAGTGCTGACCTGTTTGGTCATCCAGGTCTCCTCATCACCTGCCACACGGCCAAAATCCAGCTGCCCGAGGGGTTCCGGAAGGAGATGGTGCGCTACCTGCGCTCTGTGCAGCTCCCGGACGGAGGCTGGGGCTTGTGAGTACCAGGGATGCTTCTCTGGGTGATGGCAGCTCCAAGGTGCAGGATTTAGAGCTGCTGTCAGATCTGCCCAGGCTCAGGGAGGGGGACTCATCATGTGTGATAGCTGTGGGTGGTTGGAGTTGTTCATGCAGCACTCCATGTACACTGTTTGTCACAGAGGTGGCCATAGCATCAAGTCTGGCCACATCTCCTCTGGGGCACCATATCCCAAAGCAACATGTGTGACAGGGTAGTGCAGAGCAATGTTTACTCCTCTATTAGTCAGTCCCTCTTTTCCAAACTCACCCCTGGCATCCCACTTCACCCTGACAAAGACAGCCCTGTGCAGTGGCTTGTGTCTGGCTAATGGCAATAGCTGACTAATGGATGTGGTGTTTCTGTATATGCTTCTGACAGACATGTGGAAGATAAATCAACAGTGTTTGGCACAGCCCTCAACTACGTAGCCTTGAGGATCCTGGGGATCGGACCAGATGACCCTGACGTTGTGCGGGCCCGTGTCAACCTGCACAGCAAAGGTCAGCCATGGGGCTGGTACACTGGTGAGAGAGTCTGGCCACACCTGAGGGCTGTAGGGAGCACTGAGGGCTGCCAGGCAGTGGAAGAACTGTTGTTCTTACTTGCCTTTCGTGGCAACTGCATTTTCAATTAATGATGGGAAGCTGTGTTGCATTTTTGTGCCATTGCCTGCTTGCCTTGCTTTGGGACATGTATCCCAGCCTGAGTAATGTGCTCCCAAACACAGAGAAGAAAGCTGGGAGCTGGCATGGCTGTGTTAACCCTGAAAGCTGCTACTGTTCTGTGCAGGAGGTGCTGTGGGAATCCCTTCCTGGGGCAAGTTTTGGCTGGCTGTCTTGAACGTTTACAGCTGGGAGGGAATGAACACGCTTCTCCCAGAGATGTGGTATGTGCCCCCCTCACTGTGGAGAGAGGAGCTGGTGTCAGTCCTGCCACCAGCCTCCACCCAGAACTGTGCCAGGTGCTGGTGATTGCTGGGATAACTCCAGCTACAGCCAGGAACTGGAGGTGCTCAGGCTGCTTGTCAGCTGAGAGCCAGCAGCAGGCCAGGTGGATAGCACTGAACACTGCATCCAAGGGAGATGCCAGAGCACAGCCCTGTTAGCATTTCCCACAGGATCCCTCACACATTCATGTGCTCCCTGCCTGCCACCAGTATCTTCCAGCAGCCAGAACTGGGCCCTAGCAGGAAGGGACAGCCACATGTGAGGCTGCCAGCCCTAAACCTTGCTTGTACCCTCTCTGAATACTCAGAGGGCTGCTGGGTGTCAGAGATGGAAAGTGTCTGACACTATCCCCAGAGGAATTTGGGGGCTGCACAGTACCGAGGGCTGCTGGTGCTTTGTCAGCAAATGCCAGTAACTGTCAGTGCAGGCCTCTGCCTTCAACATCCCATGTGATTGAACTAGCTTCTCACCTTCCTCTTTGAGCTTGAGGTCCTCCCTGCCCTGTGTCAGCTGGGCCTGGAGTGGTGTCAGGAGGGGAATGCTCCTGGTGGAGCGGGAATCTGAGCAGGTCCAGGCTGTGTGTATATCCCTTACTGCAGGGGACAAGGAAAGGCCTGCCCTTCTCTGGGCATTCCACACAACATCTCTCCAGTGGCCCTTGGCCTTCCTTGTTCCTCACAGCAGCACTGTCTCTATCGCAACCAGGCTGCTTCCCACATGGTTTCCAGCGCATCCGTCGCGGCTCTGGTGTCACTGCCGCCAGGTTTACCTTCCCATGAGCTACTGCTATGCTAAGCGTCTGTCAGCAGAAGAGGACGAGCTCATACAGAGCCTGAGGCAGGTAAGGAGGGAGCTGATCCCACTGGACAAGGATACATGGCTCTGTGGCCACCTGCTGTGCTGGCCATGCTCTTGTGAGCCAGCCTCTCCTAAGCTGCAGGGTGTCTGAGCCAGCTCCCAGCAGTGCCTGCCCCAGGTGCTGCTCCTGGCTGGCCAGGCTGCCCTTTGCTCTCTGCTGCAGGAGCTGTACGTGCAGGACTACGGCAGTATAGACTGGCCAGCACAGAGGAACAACGTGGCTGCCTGTGACGTGTACACCCCGCACAGCTGGCTGCTGGGTGCTGCCTACGGTGAGTGCAGGGGCTGCTGCCAGGAATACTGAGGCTTAGGGTCTACTACCAGCTACTGGTGTATGCCCTGCAGCTGGGATGGAGACTGGAACTATGTGATCCATGGGATTCTCCATCCCTGAGAGCAGCAGGGCCTTGTGCTCATGTCCTCAGGCCACTCTGGGGCAGAGCTTTGCTCCATCCTGATGCTTGTTGGTCGATGGTTGTTGTGTGAGTTGGGGTGCAGCCTGCCACAGCAAGTGAATCTGGCTGCACAGGGTGGGTTTTTTCACTGCATGTCCCTTTCTTGTCCTGCAGCCATCATGAACATGTATGAAGCTCACCACAGCACCCACCTGCGGCAGCGAGCCGTCACAGAGCTGTATGACCACATCAAGGCTGATGACAGATTCACCAAGTGCATCAGCATCGGGCCGGTAGGACACTTGCTCTTAGTCCTTTAGTGCCTCTTTGTTCTTCAAGGACCAGCTTGTGCAGGTGTGGCATGTAATAATCACCAAGTCTTGCTCAACTCCTCCTGCTCCTGATGCTCAAGAGCTTAAGGCTAGCAGGGCACAGGAGATGCAGAGGGCATGGGGACAGCTGTGGCCCTGGTGAGGAGTATCTCTCCTTGAGGTCCAGGGAGATGATCTCATGGCACCTGCCCTGCTAACTCAGCTGTGCTGGGTGATGTCACATTGGGATCAAGGCTGAGACAACCTCTGGATGGCTGTGGGTTGGGATGTATGTTTCTGGGGCTGGAAGAAGCTTTTTCCAGAGCAGTGACAGTGCTCCTCTTGGCAGATCTCCAAGACAATCAACATGCTGGTTCGCTGGTTCGTGGAAGGGAAGGACTCTCCAGCTTTTCAGGAGCATGTTTCCAGGATCCCTGACTATCTCTGGTAAGGGCTGAGTGTGTCCATCTGGCACAGCACACCATGACTCCTGACATGCCTCCTGGTGCTCCCACTGTGCCTGTGCTGCAGCACTGTGCTCTCTCCTCCCACAGGCTGGGCCTCGACGGCATGAAGATGCAGGTGAAGTGCTGTAGGAGTTCAGCTGTGACTGAAGGGACCCTGGTGTGCTGGGGCAACCTGTGGAGTAATGGGATAGAGTGTTCATCCCAGGCCTGAGCTCCTGGCATCTCACCTCTAGTGCCTGGTGGCCTTCTCACTGCCATTTCCCCCAGCTGTGCCAGGAGGGGCTACTGTCTGTCCTGCTAGTTTGCCTCCCTGTGGCATTCTGTCCATCCTCATGAGTCCTGGGAGAAGGGCAGGAGAAAGCCAGGCCCCTGATTCTCAGTGCAGGCTGAGCTCTGCTTCTCTCAGAGCCATTGTGTCCTGCTGTTCCTTGATGCTAGCCACCTCTCCTGCCTTGGCTATGCACAGAGCAGACAGAAGCAGCTGTCTCATTTTGTGCTCCCTTGCTGTCCCTTGACCTGCTGCATCTGTCCTCTCTGTGCCAGCACAGGATGACATAGGAAGGAGCTGTTGGGGCTAATGTAGGAGGGATGTGCTGTCCCATAGTCCCCACAGCTGGGTCAGACTGCTGCTAGCACCTGCCTCTCACTATCCATTTTCTCTCTTCCAGGGCACAAATGGATCCCAGCTCTGGGATACTGCTTTTGCCATCCAAGCCTTCCTGGAGGTAATACACCCTTCAGTGCTGCCTTGGGAAAATCATCTCTGCTCATGAGTCCCCAAGTACCAGAGCTCCTGCTGTGCACCCCCTTGGAGCTCTGTTCTGGCCTGGCATGGTGTGACTGAGCTGGGAAAGCATGGCTGGCTACAGCCCCTTGCTGACTGCTCACTGTGCATCTCTATATCTAGGCAGAAGCCCAGGAGATGCCTGAATTCACCTCCTGCCTCCAGAACGCCCATGGATTCCTCCAGTTCTCCCAGGTGAGCAGAGCTGGTCAGTGGTGTCTCACACACTGTCTGTGCAGGCCTGGCTGTTGCTCAGAACCCTGTTGGATGCATCTGTTGCCTTCTGAAGAGAGTTTCTGAAGGGCTGACTAGCAAAGTCCCAGGCCCAGCCTCCTGTTTTCTACTCCCTGTTTTCAGGGAACCATCTTTGAAGCTTGGAGAGGACCTTAGCAAGGCCCAGGGATGCTTGGGTTGTCTGCCTGAGCTTAGAAGGGCTGGAAAACTGAGAGCTTAGGCTTATTTGCCCTTCATCTTTGAGGTACCCTTCTGGGAAACCCAGGATCATTGGATAGTGACTGTACGATAGCGACTGTATGAGCTCAGCTTCTGCTCGCCAGGCCAGCAGGGGCTCAAGGTGAGGGTCATTGTCACCAACAGCTAGATGCATATGCAGTCACCAGTCTTGTTTGTGGTGCTGCTGCATTGAAAGCAGATGGTTCCCTGGCAGGCAAGCTCCCAAAGGGGGCTTTAGAAACACTTGCTGAAATCAGACAAAAAGGTGATTTCTCCCTGCTCCAGAGCTGACCTCTTTCCTGTCTACTTCCCTCAGTGGAAGGCAGGTACTGTCCACTTCCACATGGAAAAACCACCTGCAATGGTTTCAGCCCATGATCCTGCAGCCAGGCACCTCCAGGCTGCTCTCACTTGTTGCTTGTCTCCTGCAGATCCCCGAGAACCCACCTGACTACCAGAAGTATTACCGCCATATGAACAAGGTACGATGGCTGGCACTGGTCTCTCAAGGACTCATCACTGTCACAGGGATTTGGGCAGAGGGAACAGGAATCAGGGGCAGCACCTGCTCTCTTCCAAGAATAGAGTGGCTGAGGGAAAGTGATCCTGCTCCCTAAGCCCACCTGATCCTTTTCCAGGGTGGCTTCCCCTTCAGCACGCGGGACTGCGGCTGGATCGTGGCAGACTGCACAGCAGAGGGGCTGAAGGCAGTAATGCTGCTGCAGGAGAAGTGTCCCTTCATAGCCAAGCCTGTGCCTGCTGAGCGCCTCTTTGATGCTGTGAATGTGGTAAGAGCTGCAAAAATTAGGCCAAGGGACATGCAAGACTGTAAGAGAAGCCAAAGCCCAAGGAATTGATAGATCTGGTATTAGATCTGGTTAGATCTGAGTTAGTGTGAGGCCTGGTGTGGCAGCACTCTTGTGATTCAGAGATGCCTGTGTCACCTAATGTCGTGTGATGGCCTAGATTGGGCTTGCTTTGTCACAGTGGTTTGAGACCTGGGTTTTCTGCCTGCCCCATAGACCTGTAGGTCTGACGTTATCCTCACAGCTGGCTTGGGGCCAGACTGGAGTAGTGCTGCCCCTGAGGTTGTACCACCCCCCTCTCTGCTTGTCTGGGCAGTTGCTGAGCATGAGGAACCCGGATGGAGGCTTTGCCACATATGAAACCAAGCGAGGAGGCCACTTACTGGAGCTGCTGAACCCCTCGGAGGTGTTTGGTAAGGGCAGCTCTGGGGCTTGGTTGTCCTGCCCACTGAGAAGGGACAGAGTGGCCTGGGCTCACCATGCCCAGCGGGTGCCTGGCAGGGGATCAGTGTGCCCTGGCTCTGGGACAGGCTGGCAGTGGCTGGGCTGCAGGCTTGCTCACACAGGGGCTGTGGCACTGATACCCACTGCCTGCTGGCAGGTGACATCATGATTGACTACACATACGTGGAATGCACATCAGCTGTCATGCAGGCACTGAGACACTTCCAGAGCCAGTTCCCTGAGCACCGAGCCCTGGAGATCAGGTGAGGCACTGAGATGAGAGCTGGGCAGGGGAGAAGACAGGCTCACTGTCCCAAGCTGCCTGCCATGGCCTCCTGAACAATGTAGCTGCCTGTCTGCATGCTCTTGTCTCTTGTGCCCTCCAATAATGGGACCCATCCAAGCCTCAGAGGGGCTGATGGAGCCCCCAGTGAAGCAAACACTGGGTTTGAGCTGCTTCTGAAGTGGATGACTTCTTTCCTGTCCAGGGAGACTCTGCAGAAGGGCCTGGATTTCTGTCGCAAGAAGCAGCGAGCGGATGGGTCCTGGGAAGGGTAGGTGGTGTTCCCAGCACCCCATTTCCTTCTGGCTGCCCCAGTGGGAGAGGGATCATCATGGCAAGCGTTCCTGGCTGGCAGGATCTGTGCGAGGGAAAGGAAGGGCTGATCCTCCTCTAGCTGCTGTGCTTTGCTCTCAGTTACTCTCCCTCCAGCCCAGGTAGAACAGATGAAGACCCAGAGAAGGTTGGGGTGGCTCCAGCTCCTTGTGGTCCCAGTTCAGCTGACACTTGAGTTAGCTGGGAGCAGGTGCTGGTGGGACTGGGCATGGTTGGGTCATAGGGGAAGGCAATCTACAGCTCTGTGCCTGGCTCTGCTCTTCTGTGAACACAGCTGCATTGCAGCCTGCCTCTCCCTGGGGCATTGCACCCCTGACAGTGCTGCTCTCTTCTTCTTCCTAGGAGCTGGGGGGTTTGTTTCACCTATGGCACCTGGTTTGGTCTGGAGGCGTTTGCCAGCATGCAGCACACATACCACAACGGGTGAGAAGGGAACGTCTGGGTGCCCTACCCCTACCCTACCTCCTGGGCCAGGGTAGGACTCAGTGGTGGGGCTGGATGGATCCCTGGCTGTGCATGGACTCTCCTGCCTCAGGGACCGCTCCTCCCAAATCCTGTGCCTGCAGTATGGCCAAGGCACTTGCTGCCTCACCCTCAAAGTCAGGGCAGTCCCAGCCATGGGCACTGCTTCTCTTTTGAGCTGACAACTGTGGGCGTCCAAACACTCTCTGTCCCCAGTCCTGTGTTGATTCTGGCCCCCATCCCTGCAGGACTGTCTGCCAAGAGGTGGCCCAGGCCTGCCAGTTCCTCATCTCCAAGCAGATGGCAGATGGAGGGTGGGGAGAGGATTTCGAGTCCTGCGAGCAGCGCACATACGTGCAGAGTGCTGAGTCACAGATCCACAACACCTGCTGGGCCCTGCTGGGGCTCATGGCTGTCAGGTAAGAGTAGCCCTAGCGCTCAGGGAAAAGAGATCAAGCTGGGCTGGGTGGCCTTGGGCCTGGCTGATGTGACCCAGTGCAAAGCAAAGCTTTTGATCATGACTGCAGGCCTCTAGCCTGGGAAAATGTGCCGTATTCATAATATTTAGTGTCTTGGGGTTGTGGGGAGCCCTTCCCAAAGCACTCAGTATGCCTGAGGCAAGCTCGGGGCAGCCTGGAGGTGGTTGAGCTCCCCAGACACGTGGATGAGGGTTTGCAGATGGTCTGGATAAAGATGCTTACATTTCCCTTGTGCTTTGTAGGTACCCCGACATCAGTGTGCTGGAAAGGGGCATTAAAGTGTTGATGGATAAGCAGCTGCCCAACGGGGACTGGCCTCAGGTATATCTTGAGTCTTTCCAAGAAGTTCCTGAACGTGCAGCAGGCCCCTGTCACTCATAGCATTCTGCTCTCTGCTTGTCTCCCAGGAGAACATTGCAGGGGTGTTCAACAAGTCGTGTGCCATCAGTTACACCGCGTACCGCAACATCTTCCCCATCTGGACGCTGGGGCGGTTCTGCCGGCTGCATCCCAAGAGCCCCCTGGCTGGGCAGCTGCCAGCCAGAGCCAGCCCCTCGGCTGGGGCAGGCCAGGAGGAGCAGGGAGCCCTGTCTGCTTGAACCTGGGACACTGGGGATGCCACGGCCCCTGACTTGTCTTGGATCCCCGAGTCTGCACGGGGCCGTGGCGGTGTGTGTTGCATGGGACAGCTCCATGCTGACCTTAGCATGTGGACTGCTGCCTCTGCCAGGGAAGGGTGCTGTGCTGGTGCTGCAGAGCCTCTGCTTGCTGTTGAACCTCTTCTAAACATTCCCTTTCTAAGGTTTTTTCCAGGTATGTTCTCCATCCCCAGATGGGGAGTGAAGTGCCTTTTCAGACCATTTTGAAGATCAGATGAAGCTGCCGAGCTGTGTTGTATTCCACATTTGGACAGACTCTCATCCTGGGTTGCAAGGCTGCCTTTATTGCCACAGGCTGTCTGTCTATACCAAGAGTGTGGGATTTGGGGTCTCCCCTGTGCCCACCATTGGGGCTTGGGGGGCACTGCACAATCCCTGCTGAGCTGACCTCTGTACTGTGGGTGCCAGCGATGGCCTTTGAGTTACTCGCTCTACCCTGGAGCCTGTGCTGGGAGGGGAAGGACACCTGTCCTCCCCCAGATGTGTGAGAAAAGGAGTGCTTTGCTTAATTTTCTTACTGCTTTGCTTAATTTTCTTATTGTTCTGTCCCCCAGCTGGTGGCACCTAGCTTCCCCAGGTGAAGTCACCAGCAGCCCTTGGAGAAGGGGCAGCTGAAGCAGAAAGCTGTGAGGTGGTTGGCATCATGGCACAGCCTGAGCCCCAGGGCTCCAGGCTTCCTCCAACTCAGACCATGGTGCTGTGGGGCATTCACAGGTCATTGTCAGAGCTGGAAGTCAGATGGGATAATAAATTGCTAAGGGTGATGCAAGAGGAACTTCACTGTGTTCTCCTTTCTGTCTGCTAGTGTGTGTCCCAGGCAGAGGGGAGCTGGCACAGCAGCCTCACGTCCTGTGGCTTGGGTTGCCTGTTCCCAGATGTATGAGCAGCATATCCACCAAACCATGCTGGGAGCCTGTGCCTCCTCTAATGCATTTAGCCACAGAAAAATGTAATCAAGGAAGCAGCTCACTAAAGGGGAATGATCACTTCCCTCATCCTCCTGCTTATGCTCATGCAGATAAGCAAGACAGAAAAACTTACTGATTTAAGAAGAATCAGCTCAGGCTGTCTCAACTCAGCCCTGTTTGCCTTTTCCAAATTATGGACATCTTTACACCTGTCTGTGATATTACTCTGCATTTAAATTCCTTCTTGCTGAAACTGAATTATTCAAGTGTCATGCAGTGATGTGTCTTGAGAGGACGTGGCTGTGTGGATTTCACCTGTTGTTAAAATCTGCTCCGAGCTGCAATTTTGGATTGAGCACATGCAGAAGAGATCAAGGAGATACAGGATATATTCAGTACAATTCTTGTTTGATAGAAACTGCTTCTTCCAGGAGTCCTCTGACACTCTTCCCAGGGATCTTCTAGAGTGTTTTGATTTCTGATTTCAGAGATCCCAGGTGTCAGTCCTAGACTATTCCCAGGATGTTACCTGAGGTGATTTTTTCTCCTTTGGAGAAACTCTCAGCTCTGGAATCTATTCAAGATTCATCCCAGGCATCTGGAGTAATTTGATCTATGGTTTTGGGACCTGACATCCTGGGTGGCAACCCCAGACTTCCAAGAAAACTTTCTGAGATTATTTTTCTGGTTTGGAGGAAATCCGTTTGTGTTTCTCAGGAGTTGCAGCACATGAAAAGAGAGATACAAATGCAGACTGGTTTTTTTACATGCAATAAAAAGAGATCAAAGATTTAGCCATGACCATGGTGATCCTAAGCACTGTCTCTTGACATGATGCCACCCACTTTGTCCCACATGGACTTCCAGTGTTATGGTACACTAGGAGAAGGCAAGTGACCCTCAGGGTCTGTACAGGGATCAATACTGTGATATATTTTTATGAATGACATGGATGAAGGGATCGAGAACACCCTCAGCCAGTTTGCAGATGACGCCAAGCTGAGGGTGCAATGCCACACCTGAAGGACTGAATGATGCAGAGGGACCTGGACAAGCTCTGGAAGTGGCCCATGGAAGCCACTTGAGGTTCAACAAGGCCAAGTGCTGATGCTGCACCTGGGTGAGGGCAACCCCCAGCATCAATCTAGCTTGGGGGAAGAAGGGATTGAGAGCAGCCCTGCCAAGGAGAACCTGTGGGTACTGGTGGGTGAGAGCTGGACATACCTCGGCCATGGGTGCTCACCCCTAGAAACCAACCCTGTCCTGGGCTGATCCCACAGCGTGGGCAGAAGGACAGGGGTTCAGGGTGAGACCTGAACACCTGCAAAGCTGTAGGAACACAGTTTGGGGTAATTGGGAGTGGGGCTGTGGCTGAGCCTCATCCTCAATGGGCACAGCTATGAAAAGCAGGTGAGCAGCACTGACAGCAATGAGCCATGGAGTGCCCAGGGGCACTGAGCAACCACCAAAGGGAACAGAGGGCACACAGGTGCAGTGCATCAACAGGAGGGGATAAAAGGTTGGGCTGAAAAACAAGAAGGGCAGATGCTTGCAGCCTGCTGAAGAGGTAGGGTGTTACTCTGTGTGGGTTGGAACTTTCTGAAATTGTGTGGTGATGCTCTGTGTATGGTGGCTGTCTCAATTGCTGTATGTGCTGTGACATGTGCTGTGACACAGAGCTGCCTCCAGCCCTGGGGCTTAGCACAGGAAGGACATGGAGCTGTTTGAGCAAATCCAAAGTGGACCACAGAGATATTCCAAGGGCTTGAGCCCTCTCCTGTGAGGAAAGGGTGAGAGCTGAGGGTGTTCAGCTTGGAGAAGGAAAGGCTCCAGTGAGACCTTAGAGCCTCTTCCAGTGCCTAAAGGGCTTCCAAGAGAGACTAAGAGGGGCTTTGGACAAGTGTCTGGAGGGCCAGGACAACAGGGGAATGGCTTCATACTGCCAGAGGGCAAGGTTAGATGGGATATTAGGAAGAAATTCTTCCCTATTAGAGTGCTGAGGGCCTGGCACAGGCTGCCCAGAGAAGCTGTGGCTGCTCTGGAGCCCTGGAAGTGTCCAAGGCCAGGTTGGATGGGACTTGGAGCAGCCTGGTCTGGTGGAAGTCGTCCTTGTCTGTGGCAAGGGGGTGCAATGACTCAATGACTTTATGACTTACTACTGCTGAGCATGCAGCACTGCCAAGCAATGGGAGACAATGAGGCAGCAATGGCCTGAGGATGGGGATGTGCTTCAGGCTTCAGTTCTCTGAGGGGGAAGATGAGGCAGGAGCCTGCTGACTGCTCACATCTTCTACACAACACTATCCTCTCTGAGCAGGAAGGCTCCTGCCAGGACAGAAGGAGGCTCCCAGATGTCCACCCTATATCCTACCTAACCCACCCAACAGCATCCCCTCTGGGACAAAGGCTTCCCTCCTCTCAGGACAGAAGGAAACTGCGGATCACCCCTTTGACCCTACAAAAACCATTCTGGGCAGGAAGGCTCCTGTCCCTCCAGAACAGGCACTGAGATTTTGGGCAGGAAGGAACAGAAGACTTGTGGCTAAATGTAGCATCTCAGGTGGGTGAGGGGGAAACTGGGATGCCATGGGAGGACACCCTTGTTTGAGAGACACCCTGGAACTCTTCTCCACAGTCCTCTGGTTTCCTCTGCTTCTGTATGTTAATAAGCTCAATGACATCATCCCTGTTCTCCTCCCCAGTTCTGGAAAGGTCCCTGTCTCTAGCTTCCCCATTGGCTTACCCTTGTAGACACTCCTCCACTGTATCCCCGTTGGTTGTTTCCTCCTTACCCCACCTTCCTTCCACCCCTAGTCCCTTTAGCCATTGGCCCTCAGATTGTGATACCCTGCCTACTCCTGACTGTTTATAAACCCTGAACCCGCCTTTGGTCGGGGCTTTTCTATCCCTGAATCCCTTCAGTGTGCTTGTTATTAAACCACCCACAGAATTGGAACTTTCATACAAAAAGCCTCTCCTGCTTTCTCCATTGGTCTGTGTTTATCAACTGACTGTGTGAGGGTCTGGTGCCTGCCTGAGCTATCCACCTTCTCCAGAGAAAGACGCTCTCGGGAGGGTGGCTGGCTGGGCATCATCTGCCATGCAGTCACAGCTAACTGCCCCTTCTACCCAAGAGGATCCTTCCAGGCACAAAGGCTCTTGCTCCCCCAGGGCAGGAGCTGTGGTTTTGGGCAGGGCAGCAGCCATGGACAGCGTCAGCCTGTACCAGCTGTTGGATTCTGCTATCGAGGGCGAGGCTGGCATCAACTTTGCAGTCCTGTGAAAACTTCTGCAGGCCATGCTGGAGCAGCAGGAGCTCCCCCAGCAGTTCCCCCTACTCGTGGTCTCCCCACTTCCTTAGCAGTGCTTGTCACTGTCCTCCCTGCGCAGGCATTGTTTGAACCTGTGGCAGCAGGTCTTTGCCTTTCAGATGGGATTCCGTGATCCAGCACGGAGCCTGGCTTGGGCAGGAGGTGCTGGATCCATTCCTGCTGGCCTGGCTGTGTGATGGACTCCACAGGGCAGGATGAGGGATCCTAAGCCATGGGTTTGTGCTAGGGTCTCCACGAGGGGGTGGGCAAGATGAACACAGAACAATCCAGCATGGAGCAGGACATAAAGATGATAGGGCAAAAACTTGGCCAGCTGAGCTGCCACCTGTTCCCCCAGGAGGGAGTTGAATGCCCACCCCCTCCTCAGGGACTCTTCCACAGCTGCTGCCGCCAGCGCTTCCCAGGGGACAGAGCAGCATTGGTGCTCCGGGCCACAGGTCCCGTGTCTGTGTGAGGCCCCTGCGAGTGTGCCGGCCACCCAGCACCGGGACTGGTCCCAAAGAGGCTGTGGCAGGGCCTGTGGAAGGCCCCGGTGCCCTTCCTGCTCTGCTGCCTTGGCAGCTGTGGGGGCTCATTCTGCTGCCCTGAGCAGGCAGAGCAGAGCAGCAGCTGCTTCTTGTTTGGGTTGTTGCAAAAGTTCCTGCTGGGCTGTGTCTTCAACACTTGGGGCAAGGTCTTGCCTGCAAGCTGGGGCAGTTTGGGTGGGGTGGGGGTGTCCCCAGGGCACGTGGAGGTGTGTCCTGGGGCTCTCTGTGACTCAGTGCACTGTGGTCACCATGGGATGGAATGGAATGGGA